CTGCACTCCAGTCTGAGCGAGAGAGTGAGACTCCAATTCAAAAAAAAAAAAAAGAATATATATATATATGTATATATATATATGTATATATATATACACACACACACACATATATATGTATATATAAATATATTAGTAAGCAGAGAAAAGACATTTGAGGGGAACTGTGATAAGGTTTTTGGTGGAAAAAGTATTACTGCTGTGTCTATAATACAAGACAGAACATAATCTTCCTTTTTTCTTTTTAGAAAGCAGGATTTACTGAGGACAGGAAAGCTCCCACAGTGGGAGGGGACCCAGAGGGGTTACCCTCCTTCTTTCTTTTTACATGGTTTGTGATCTTTCACTGACGTTTATTAAGTACCAAGTCAAATAAAAACTATCACAAGAGGGAAAAAAAACGTCCATGGGAAACTTGATATTTTCTGTGTTCGTTAAACAACAGTTCAGATGTCAAGAAAAAGGAGATGAATTACTTAGGCAATAAGGTTGCCAAGAAAAGGGGCAGAGGCTGCAACTTAAATGCTGGACCCCTGGGTGCGTTTTTGGGAACTCTCTCCGGTATCTTTTACCAGCAGAACCAGCCCTTCCTGATGCTGCGTCCTGCCCCTGTGGGCTGATGAGGCCGTGGGCTCCACTCCTGCGTCTGCAATGGGGATGCCTGGACCGGCAGCCCCAGCAGACACTCCTCCCAAGAGTTTCAGCTTCCAGCTTTGCAACACAACGTGAGGCCTCCCAGGCAGGAGGACAGAGGACAGACCCTCTTCCGGCCTTCTACTACAATGCAGGAAGAGACTCCTCCTTAGATGTTTGCCCTCTGTCCATACCCAGACCCTACTGAACACGAAGCCCGCCCCATAAATGCCCATTGTCACAAATGAAAGTCAGCCACAGTCATACTCACAGGAGCTTTTCCATCTCCTTCTTTATGAACCTTCTTTCCATGACTAAAGGCTCATCCAGCTGAGCACCCACTGCAGCTCTCTCCACTCCAGATATCCTTTGGGAAGACTCAGCCCTTTGGCTTAGAGGCTACAGCAGCAAAGCAGAGAGAATCTGAGTCAGGGATGCTAGCGCTCCAAACACCAGTCCTGGAGTCCCAGGCTCTGGAAGGGATCCGCGGCAGCATGGCCTTCAGGGCTCTGGTTCCGTAGTTTGGCGTGTAGAGCAGCCTGAGGGCTGGGCGCTGGGCTTGGCATTCTCTGACACCTTTTATCCCTCCCAAGTTTTTCTAGTACTTGTCATTCACTGATCCTTGCAATCATCTAGCAAGTAAAGCTGAACTGGCTCACGTAATAGTTGATGAGACTATTTGGTCAAAACATTTAAACTAGATGGTTTGTGATCTGAACATGCTTGAGTTTTTCTGTGTGCGTTCAACACAGTGACTCCCAGCGAGTGCACCCTGGTATTGTGTAGAGCTCCTGTGACCAGGAGGTCCCTGAAAGAACGTGTGGTTATGACAAATGTGCCTTCCGTTCCCACCCATGGAGAGCCAGAACTTGGAGAAGAGGTGATAGGGTCAGAAGGAGTCTGAAGTCACAAACAAGAGTTTTTAAACCTAATTTTTTTAGACTAGAAAATATAGTTTATGTTAAAAGTAAATGAGAGAGAGAGAAAGAAAGAGAAGATTCACTTCCCCAAGGTAAGGAAGGGGGCAAAGCCAGTAAACATGGCTCTTTGAGCTACGGCCAGCAACTTAGAGGCTATAATACTGGGTGGCCTGTCACAGAAACAAAGAACCGAGTATCTCACTCATAAGTGGATCTTGAACAACTATCGTCATATGATAAGAAAAGGATTGGCAGTAGTGGGAATCTGCCAGGGAGGGGGACATACCTCATCAACAAGGCTACCTTCATAATGACCATTTGTATACCTAACCCTGAATTGTACCCCACATCTTTAAAATAAAAAATGTTTAAAAGAAAAAAATTAAAAAGAGCACAAGAGCACATGGCCACACCAGAGTCTAGTATGGCAGTGGTTAAAAAAAAAGTTTTTAAGCTGGGCTCGGTGGCTCAGCCTGTAATCCCGTGCCTTTGGGAGGCGGAAGTGAGTAGATTGCCTGAGCCCGCGGGTTCGAGACCCGCCTGGGCAACTTGGCGAGACCTCATTTCTACAATAAATCAAAAATTAGCCGGGCGTGGTAGCGCGCGTCTGTAGTTCCAGCTACTTGGAAGGCTGAGGCAGAAGGATCGCCGGAGTCCAGCAGGTCGAGGCTGCAATGGCTGGGAGTGGCCACTGCACTCCAGTTTGGGCGACAGAGTGAGACTCTAACTTTAAAAAAAAAAAAAAAAAAAAAAGTTTTTGAAAGATCATCACGGCGAGGTGCGGTGGTTCACGCCTATATCCCAGCACTTTGGGAAGCTGAGGCAAGAGGATTGCCTGAGCGTGAGCCTGGGCAATTCGGAGAGACCTTGTCTCTACAATAAATCAAAAAATTAGCTGGGCGTTGTGGCGCGCGCCTGTAGTTCCAGCTACTTGGAAAGCTGAGGCAGAAGGATCGCCTGAGCCCAGCAGGTCAAACTGCAGTGGCCGTGAGCATGCAACTGCCCTCCAACCAGGGCGACGAACTGAGACTCCAACTCAAATAAATTTAAAAAATCCAAATAAATAAATGGCCATCACTATTGAATGGGAAGAGGTGTAAATGCGATATCAACTCTCCCTGCAAGGTTTTATTTCTTTTAAAAGATTTGAAGCGGCGGTTTTTCTTCTTTAAAAAACTTGCCCATAGCAAGTCTTTCTGCCATGAATCTTCCTTCTTCCTTTTTCTTTTTATCTCATAATAAACTTTGTTCGAAAACTTAAAAAATAAAAAAGATTTGAAGCAAAGCAAATTGTGATGGTTAATTTCATATGTCAAATTGGCTGAGTCACTATGCCCACATGTTTGTTCAAATCTTATTCTGGATGTTTCTGCAAAGGTGTTTTTGGGATGAGATTAACATTTAAGTTGGTGGATTTTTTTGTAAAGCAGATTACCCTCCATACTGTGGATTGGTTTCATCCAATCAGTTTAAGGCTTTAACAGGACATAGACCACCCCACACAAGAAGGAATTCTGCCCGTAGACAGCCTTGGATTCCAACCATAACTCCTCCCTGAGTCTCTAGTTTGCTGGCCTCTCCAGTCGGGTCTTGCACTGGCCAAGTCCACGGTCATATGAGCCAATTCCTTAAAATCTCTCTCTTCAAATATGGAGAATACATACATTACGTGTGTGTGTGTGTGTGTGTGTGTGTGTGTGTGTGTGTGTGTATACATATATAGAGAGAGAGTTGAACTGGGCAGGAATTTGCAGTCTACACTGCACCTGATATGCGTGCGCGCGCACGCGCGCGCACACACACACACACACAGACACACACACACACACATCTGGTTGATTCTGTTTCCCTGGAGAGCCCTGACTAATACACAGATGTCACCAAAATGTTAACAGTTTTTGACTCTGGAGTGATAAGTCCATGGATGTTCATAACACTACCCTTTGTCTTAAATTGCACATATGTTTTTAAATCACTACTCTAAAGATGGTTAGAAAACAAACTTTAGAAATTTTGTATTTGATACAGCACATAGACATTAAGCTTCATTTAATTCAGCTAACAATCAGCAAAGAGCAAACAGGAAGCCACTGACCTAAATGGATGCTTCACCAAGCCAGTTGAATTACTGTGACTCATTCTTGCAGCTATCTACACCTGCTTTAGCCTTTTGGGAGAAGATGGGATGTGGATAAGGTGAGCGGGGAGAACGTAGGAACATTCCACAGGGAATGGACCGGCTATCAAGACAATCATATTGCTCCCGACAGGATAGTCAACTGGGGGAGAATGCTGCAAGCCAGAGAGGTGGGCCACCACCCAGAAAAGGAAGCGGGGAAGAGGGAACATCTGGCTCAAGAAACAGTGGCCACTGAGGAGGCCTGGAAATCTGTGCCAGTGCCGGACACTAGCTCATCACTCTCCCAACGACCCCTCGGTGAATATTAGAGCGCTGGAACCCAATTAATTTCTTTCTTTTTTTTTTTTTTTGAGTTGGACTCTCACTCTGTCACCCAGGCTGGAGTGCAGTGACCACTCCCGGCCACCGCAGCCTCGACCTGCTGGGCTCCGGCGATCCTTCTGCCTCAGCCTTCCAAGTAGCTGGAACTACAGGCGCGCGCTACCACGCCTGGCTCATTTTTGATTTATTGTAGAGATGAGGTCTCGCTGCCCAGGCGGGTCTCGAACCCGCAGGTTCAGGCAATCCACTCACCTCAGTCTCCCAAAGGCGCGGGATTACAGGCTGAGCCACCGAGCCCGGCTCCAATTAATTTCTTAATTGACACAGGTGCCAGCCGTTTGACTCCGGTCAGCTATGTTGGACTATGTAGTCTTGTCTTAATCAGAAGTCGCTGAGAGGTTAATTCAGATTTTCTATGAATTGCTTATTAATCACATTGATGTTAGGCCAAACCACCGTTATGTCAAAGTAACAGTAAAACACTAGTCTGTCAATCTTTAGTAAGTAATTGAAGTTTTAAAATTGGTAAAATAGAATGCTTTCAAAATTTAAGTATTTTGTCTAATCTGTTGATCCATAGGTCAAATACAATGTCTGCTAGATGTTTTAAAATATAAAACTTTGCCTTCATAATACTTTTTATACTTAAGTAGTCGGTAAACTTACATCTTAAATCCAAACTGTTAAAGGCTTATGCCAAATTAATCATATGTATGGTCAAGTTAGCTAAAGTATAAAAGATGTCATTTAGTTTTCTATTAACTAAGCATACTAATTTTTGGCCAAAATGTAGGCCCCTATGTCAAAACAACTGTGTTTTTAAAGCAACAATCTAATCAAAATTAAATAGGCTTGACTAAAAAGTTTTAGTAAAATCAGCTTTAATGTTATTGATACCTTCATGTAAGGATGAAATTTGCTATTCTCTTTTAAGCAAGATTTTTGAATAATTTCAAGAAATAGTAAGAGATCTTTGTAAACTGCAAAAACAGGTAGGGGGGAGTAAATTCAACTGGTCCTCTACTGTCTTTTTTTTACTGCTTAAAAGAATGAATCACCTCTATCAAGAGTGAGGCTTTTGCTTTCCAAACGTCTAAGTCGGCATTTTGGCTAAAAATAGCTGTTCCACAGTAACCTGTAATCATGTGTTATAATATCTATCATGTTTTTAAAACCTTTCATGTTTAACAAACTTTTCAACATGCAAATTTCAAGTTCTCAGTTCAGTCTCTCTAACCTTTTTAAAATTAGACTGCCTAGGGGCTGGGCACAGTGGCTCAATCCTGTAATCCCGGCACTTTGGGAGGCTGAGGTGGGAAGATCGCTGAGCCCATGGGTTCGAGCCCAACTGGGCAACTTGGCGAGACCTCATCTCTACAAGAAATCAAAAAGTTAGCCGGGCATGGTAGCGCGCATCTGTAGTTCCAGTTACCTGAAAGGCTGAGGCAGAAGGATCGCCTGAGCCCAACAGGTCGAGGCTGCAGTGACCGGGAGCGTGCCACTGCACTCCAGCCTGGGCGACAGAGCGAGACTCCAACTCAAAAAATAAAATAAATGAATTAGGCTTCCTGAAATCCAAGGAGACATTTATCTCATTTGGTATGCTAAAATCACGCAGGAAGCACTGTCAACCAGGAAAGAGTGTTTACACTTTCTCAAGGTGATATTTATGTGTCATTGGTGAGTGTTCCAAAATTGCGTGATTCTAATATATCCAACTATGTGATATCAACTGCCTATATAAAATTAATATCAGACTGGGCTCGGTGGTTCAGCCTGTAATCCCAGCACTCAGTCTGTAATCCCAGTGGAGGACCAGTGGAGGTCGAGGCGAGTGGATTGCCTGAGCCCGCGGGTTCGAGACCCACCTGGACAACTTGGCGAGACCTTGTCTCTACAATAAATAAAAAATTAGCCGGGCATGGTAGCACGCGCCTGTAGTTCTGGCTACTTGGAAGACTGAGGCAGAAG